TGCGAAAGCTACCTTGCGATTGTGAAGTGGGAAGGAACACGCCCTCTCGCTCAACCCCGATCTGCAAGGCTTCCTGCCACAGGGAGATGGTTTGAGCCTAGAACGTTACTATCCTCAGGGCCCAAATAGTCCCCACTTCCACGTGGACTCGACTCAACACCCACTAGTCCAGTCAGGAGCAGTCACACAGTTGACAGCTCTTTTCCAGAGGGGCAGTTTGGCTGTGAGGGATGGGACAGGAGCTGCAGGACCCGGGGATGACTCAAGGTGGGGTTCCTTGGCTGTAGCAACAGGAAAAGAATGAGAGGAGGGCAGCAGGCAGAGGTAGAGTGAGGGGCCTGGGAGAGAAAGGGGTTCCGGGTAAGTGAGAGACGACAAACAGGGTTTGAGGCCGTCTCAAGTGTGTGTGTGGCTGGGCGGAGTCTGGAGGTTAAGTGTGAGGAGTCTGGGTTCTCCCTCCTTCCTCTTTGGAAGCTTTGGCTACACATATTTGGCAGTTGTTCCCCGATGGTATCACTTGGGCAGGCGCAAAAGGAAGCAGAATGGAGGGTGTGTGTGTGGAGAGCATCAGCTTGCGGACGGAAGGGCCCCAGGTTCGATTCTGGTCAAGGGCACATGCCTAGGTTATGGGCTCGATCCTCAGTGTGGGGCGTGCAGGAGGCAGCCGATCAATGATTCTCTCTCATCATTGATGTTTCTATCTCTCTCTCCCTTCTCCCTTCCTCTCTGAAATCCATAAAAACATATTTTAAAAAAGTAAAAAGGTGATATTCTTATAAAGAAAAAAACAAAGAAGAAGAAAAGAAAGGCCATAAGCAGGAATGACCTTAGACCAGTGGTTCTCAACCTTCCTAATGCCGCAACCCTTTAATACAGTTCCTCATGTTGTGGTGACCTTCAATTTCATTGTTACAAATTGAACATAATGAAAGCATAGTGATGAATCACAAAAACAATATGTAATTATATATGTGTTTTCCGATGGTCTTAGGCGACCCCTGTGAAAGGGTCGTTCGACCCCGAAAGGGGTCGCGACCCACAGGTTGAGAACCGCTGCCTTAGAGGGATGTGATCTGGCCCTCCTCCAGCTGCACGCTCCCCTTCAGAACAGGAGTCTTTGTCTCCCTGTTTAGACTACGCTCCAGATACCCAGGATCCTGTTATTTCTTGTCTTAAGGCCCACACGTTTGCTTCCAGAGCCTGAGTGGGCTGCTCCCCCAGATTCACTTTCCTGAGAACTGATTTGCCACTGAAAGGGTGGTCCAAGAATGGCTGGCTGTTGGGAAATATGAATGGAGCTTGGACTCACGGACTAGGATACCAAGCTACTCAGGCTATGAGATGGAGAGCTGAAAATAGGAGCGGGGGACATTGGGCTGTTTATTCTTGTCCCTCGTTGTAAACATTAGGGACAACCTGTTCACAGGACAGAGCAAGGATGAGGCTTGTGTATAGGGAGGCTCAGACATTGGAGCCAGAAGTAGGTAACATTTGTTTTTAGACTTTTCACTGAGGGGGAAAGAAGGGCCAATGCTTGAAGCCAAGGACATAATTATCTACAATATGGTTCCCTAGGATAAGCAAGACAGCACATTGTTTTTAATAAACTTAAATTTTTTTTTAGCCCTAGCTGATTTGGCTCAGTGGATAGAGCATTGGCCTGCGAACGGAAGGGTCCCAGGTTCGATTTCGGTCAAGGGCATGTACCTTGGTTGCAGGCTCCTCCCTGGCCGGGGCCCTTGTCGATGTGTTTCTCTCACGTCAATATTTCTCTCTGTCTTTCCCTCTCTCTTCTACTCTCCCTAAAAATCAATGGAAAAATATCCTTGGGCAAGGATTAAAAATATATGTATATTTTTATTGCCCAGCTGGCATGGCTCAGTGATTGAGTATTGACCTATGAACCAGGAGGTTGAGGTTTGATTTCCAGTCGGGGCACATGCCTGGGTTGCGGGCTCGATCCCCGGTGTTTGGTGTGCAGGAGGCAGCCGATCAATGATTCTCTCTCACCATTGATGTTTCTATCTCTCTCTCTCCCTTCATCCCTGAAATCTGAACCTCAACCTCCTGGTTCATAGATCGACACTCAACCACTGAGAAACACCAGCTGTGCTAATAAACTTTTTTAAAAGAATACTTTTAGATATATAGGGGGGGAAATTGAAGATAGTAGAGGGTCTCCACACACCCCAAGCCCAATTTTCCCTTTTGTTAACACCTTACATTAGTATGGTACATTCGTTACAATTACAATTGAACCAATACTGATACATTATTATTTACCAATGTCCGTGCCTTATTCAGATTTCTTAGCTTTCTCTTAAATGTGCTTTTTCTGCTCCAGGGTCACACCCAGATTACCAAGTTACATTTAGTCATCATGTCTCCTAAGGCCCTCTTGGCTATGACAATTTCTCAGACTTTCCTTATTTTTGATAACTTTAACCTCAGTTTCCTCCTCACTTTCCCCCTACGTCTCCTGGTATTCAAGCAGTCTGCAAAGCCAGAAGATTCTGGGAGGACTGCCAGATTTGGGGGTGAGGTGGTGATGTGTGTAACTGACAAGCCTCAATGTGGCCTCTGGAACACAAGTGTGGAAATGAGAACTCTGGTAGTAGACTCAGAGGTTTAGGAAATAATAATTTTTGTTTAAATATGCCAGGAAAGAAGAAACATATTGCTAAGAGAACGCCACCCCCTTGTTGTGCTTCCTAACTAGCGGGTAATGAAGGAGTGGCAGAATAAATAAGGAGTCGAGTCGGCAGTGACGTCATTGGGCGAGGTCTGATTGAGAGCGGCCTT